AAGGGACATCAGTCCAAGGTGATGTATTAGGAGGTATCATCTGTTAAAGCCCAGTTCTAGCATCCTAAATATAGTCTGGAAATTTGCCAGACAGGTATTCTTGATTATTCTTGGCATGTTGGAACAACATGAGCCAAACAGCTCCGGAAGTGCTTTTCAAGCATTTCGTCTATGTGTTCGGTTGGTGTTTCTGGGATGTGCCTATCTTGAGAAGGAGGTTGTAAATTGATATTCTGCCACCGTCTTATCTTGGGTTGTCAGTCCATTTTTGGATCCAGTGCTTGTTATAATAAAATGATGACTGGAAAACAAAGCTCATGTCAGCCCTTACCAGCAGGGCATTCTCTTGAAGATAAAGAGCTAGAAGGCAGCATGGTAGAAACACTGAATTCTATCAGAGCCAGCAGCAAAACACTTAAATGCTGAAATAATTTAGCATTTGCTGAAAGCAAGAACTACCCATATGAAAGACACTAATCTGTCATAGACTTTAAGGCTAGAAGGGATTATGATGATCTTTCAGTCTAACCTCCTACATAATTCAGACCATGAGATATCATTTCACATTGAGCTCATAGCTTCCAAATGAGCTTGAAAAAGGCATCCACTCTTGACTGAAGTACTCACAGTGATGGGGATTCCACCCTATCTTTGGCAGATGATGGTAAGATTAGTTATCCTGACAGTTCAGAAAAATACAGTCTATTTCAGTGCTTTATTTCAGCTTTCATCCACTGGGATTTGTGATGCTTTTTGCAAGATTAAGTGTTCTTCTACTATCAGGGGAAGTTTGGCTTCCAAGAGCAATTTTGACCAACTTTCTTACCTTTTTCAGTGTGTGGTTAAAGCCCCAGTAGGACCCAGAAGAACTATTTCTGTCTGGGTTGTAGACATTTCAGATAACCTTGACCTTAGCTTGTTTCTGCTAACAGTGATCCTCTGTAAAACAGAGATAATGGTACTTCCCTCCCTCTCACAGGTGTTGGCTGGGAAGAAAATAAATAAAAATAAAAATAAAATAATTTCTCAAATGTTATAGTGGGAGGCAAATATTAAATCAGTCAGAGGTTAGAGGCTGGATATTGCATTCCAAAATAAGGTTTAGTGCAGAGATCTTATCAACTGGAAACTGAGGTCTTCTGATATTGCTACAGGATATAAGCCACATTTTCATATATAGATATTGGTGCTCTGAATCAAGAAACCACATCTGAAAACATTGGTTTACAGTAACAGTTAGTTAGACATGAAAGAGAGGAGGTATTTGGGAATAATAGGGGTTAATTGCTTCCTTTGTAAGGGACCTTGGTATAAGGTATCGTAGACCTTGTTACAAGCATTTCTCATAGGAAAAGACTTATAAAGACATAAAATCAGAAGCTAACCTATTTGATCCAGTTAATCTGCCTACTTTAAATGGGGCTTTTACTTGTAATGGTGCCAGTGGTCTCAGTTAACAGCCACACCATTTACAGTCAAAGGTTAGACCAAAATAGCTCCCCAGGTCCTTCTAATTTTCTATTTTTGTCAATGATCTACTTAAATGCTGACTACCTCCCATTTAGGACACTTAGATCAATCTAATTGGCTAAGCACCAGTTAACTGCACAGTGGCAGAGGAGTGGATCACCTCCCTATATTTAAAATGAACGTCTACATGATGTCCTTGTGGTGGGTGACTAGGGCCAGGCCTGGCACTGCCAACTGCAGAGTCATGGCTGAGGACCGAGGGAGATGCTCCACCTCTCTACAAGGCTGGTGTCTCCCATGCTGTTGTTCTCAGGTGCTCAAGACACAATATGCTATGTAGGGATGAGTCGAGATAGAGGATGATCTCTTCTCTTTGCCTCATGCTAGGGCCAGCTTGTTCGCTGAGAGCTTACCAGGGCTGGAGGCAGCTTTGCTGGTGATGGGGAACGACACATCAATGTGTGAGTGCTCTCAGCCATGTGCCAGGGAGCAGGTCTTTGCTCATAAAACAGATTTGACCTCCTTCTTAAGGTCAAGTGAGGTTTTTCCTGTTGTCCACTGTTTTCTATTACACATAAGTGATGTATGTGGCTTTATTTATCTAGTGTCCCAAATGCATGTGGAGCAGAGCTGGCATTCAAGCTCAAGCCAACAGCTCAGAAACCCATCCCCATTTTCGTACACAGGGATTGAAAGACTAAGATTGAAAGATTGAGAGGCATTTGCCTTTCTCTGCTTTCCTGTTGACAAGGTATCATAGGCAGAGCTGTCTCAAGTCTGTATGACAGAAATCATTCATCTACTATGGCAAAAACAGATATTGAATCAGAAATCTGAGCCTTCTTCCAGATTATTCTAGGGTGAAGGCTTAGGTCAGGTGCCTTATGTAGCTGCTTTAAATCATTTGCATGTTCACAAAGAGTGATTCAGCACTAACCTTCTAGGGCAACGTACAGAACAGGTTGGGTCCTGCTTTCAGAGTGGTTTTTTTTTTCTGCACATTTGTCTACATAGTGTAGACAGAAGCATTGGGTGCTCACAGCCGTGGCTTTGTTTGGAGACCACATCCAGTCCGTACAGGGTTACTTAAGAAAAAAACAGTCACAGGCCAGATGGAAGAAAGTCCTGGTAGTTGGGCCACAGCTTCCAGCCCAGGCCACAAGTGACCATGGCAAAAATTACAAATTCTTTCATGTTGTTATGCATTTAATTACATAAATGCTGGGGAACTCAAGTAACAGCCCAGGTCTCTCTTGGGGTAGTAATTACAAAGACTGCTTTGGCAGAATCATATACAGCTTGAATTGGTTGTTGATGGTTTTTCCTTTTCCTTTTTTCCTTTTCCCAATAGATTTTTATTTTTTTTCCAAAGAGAAAGGCTTTGTAAACTAAATTATAATTTCCTTTCAGAAAATTTTGAGGAAAAAATAAAAGGTCTGGCATTTTCCCACCCACCCGTCTTGGATTTCATTCAGACATGCTGTGCTCATGACAATATTTTGGCTTTGACAAATGGGAAAATTTTGGATGCCAGTGTGGAATATAGGTGTGTTTTGTCTCTTCCTTCTGCTGAGGACATGTCCTATGATTTTTTTTTGCTGATGGTGTGGTTGTCATTTTGGACTTTTGTGTATCATACTAGCAATATACCGCAGAATGTTTTAATTATCAGTGTTTGTTGCAGGCACTATGCAAACATATTGTTTCTCAGGCTTCTAAAAGCTCTGCTTCTAATACATCACAAAAGACATATATCAAAACAGATAATAGCCCCCAATCCATGCAGTGTGGGAACCCAAGCTTGTACGAAAACTAAATACCAGGTGCTTATTTTACAGCATGAACTTCTCTGGTGCTTCACTACTCACCATTTCAATGGCATTAGTGCAGTTGAAAAAGAATGGAAATTTTGGTTTTGTTTGATTATATAACATGGGGAAAACTTGTGTGGCATCACTGGTTTGAATTTAATAGCACAGGATCAGTCAATGGGCTGTTTCTTTGCTCTTTGCTAGAGCTCTGAACAGGCTGTTCCTCCTCTTCTCCTGTCTCAGGAAAGGAAAAGGATTTGCCTTCTTTCGGGAAAAAAAAAAAAAAGTGTGAATTTTGCCTCTCTTTGGGAACAGTTGGTTCCAACACAACACAGTGTGCAAATCCTGGCTCTTCCTGGGGGCATTTAGTGCACCACCTCAGCAACTTTAGTGCATTTTTCTGGCCTTCCCCATGCAGTAGTGGCTGGGTGCTCCAGCTGCCCCTGAAGTCATGGGGCGTTCTGGAGGGATGGGTGGTCTCCAGGTGAACAGGCTGCACATAAATAAATAAATAAATAAATAGCGTCCTGGAGTGTGTATCAGGTTCAGGTCACCTGGTGTGACCGGGCTGAATGGACGGGAACAGATTTCATTTAAATTTAGCAGCAGTGTTGTGGCTGGAACAGGCTGATGAGAACTTGGCACCTTCCTCCCCACCTCGCACCGTCTCCCCCCGCGGTAGGGTTGTTGGCCTCCACACAGAGCATTGCGAGCGCGTAGCCCTGGCAAGCACCCTTTAAATAACCTTTTCGCTTCTGCGGGCTGTTTTGCTGAGTCGTTTTGGTTTCTTAGCATCCACAACAACCTCTGTGTGCCAGTGCTCTATAGCAATGGAGAAGTCTCAGTCCCACACAGAATCACAGAATGGCCAAGGTTGGAAGGGACCTCTCAAGATCATCCAGTCCAGCCCCCCTGCTGAGCAGGATCACCTAAAGCGCATTGTGTAGGGTGGCCTCCAGGCAGGTTTGGGATATCTCCAAAGAAGGAGACCCCAAAACCTCTCTGGGTAGCCTGTCCCAGTGCTCTGTCACCCTCACAGTGAAGAGGTGCCCCATCATATTGAGCTGGAACCTCCTGTGCTTCAGTTTGTGCTTTTGGTTCAGCAGCCTAGATTTTTTTATTACAATTTTTCATTCTTTTTTAGTAATTTATATGGTCCTTTCCAAAGTGTATCAACATTTGGATTTGGCAATAGCACAAGGGGCTCACCTTTCATTTAAATGTAGTAAGTAATAAATATAAGACTTCACGGCATGGTGGCTATTTGTTGTGGTTGCATTTAAGGGAACAGAATCGGGTTGCTGTTGTTGAGGGAGCAGGTTCTGATTTTCATTATTCCTTGCAGGGGAAAAATTGACTTTGTGCTGTGACCCCCCTGCCATCCCATGGGCCAGGTAGCAGATGAAGCCATGGGGCTGATCTGCCAAAGCCAGGACCTCGAGGCACCACAGGACCACTCTGTGATGAACAGAAGCTGGTCCCACCTTCACCTTCTCCTCAGTCTTTCCCTTAAAGGAGGTGACCACCTCCTTAAATGGATGCCATACAGCTCTGTGAACTTTCTTATCTCAGAGCATGTAAGGGAGCCCACTGAAAACTGTGCTGCTGTCAGCCTCCTGTCCACAGGGAAATTGTGGATTCCACTGACATTTTGCTGGAAATTTACAGAGGAAATGCTATTCCATTCCCCAAACCTGTGAGAGTTGTGTTCATTTGCAGGTCCTGCTAAATGTCTGGGAAGACAGCAAAAAGAAAAAGCATATGTCCTGTCCATTCTTCCCACTCCAAAAGAGATAGGCCTGTGTTTTTTTCTTTATGTTGGGATAAAATAAACACAAATCAAGTTTCTAGCCTGCGACTTTACACCACAAAGAACTTCATCACTGTGAACCTGAGTGTGAACTGCTGAGTGTGGCTGGCATCCCCATCACTGGGATGGGGATGGGGCCACCAAGTTCATGTGGCCCTATAGAGGATGGATGCCTGCTGCAGTGGAGATGAGCAATGGATGTCACTGTGGACGAGAGCTTCAGACTGTCATCTTGTTACAGCTCTTTCTAATGACGGTATGTTTGCCTTATTTTGGGCAGCAGACTTAATGACTCCTTAGCATTTATTGATGCCTTTTCTTTCAGTTTATCTGGGGAGAAAATAATGTATATTTAAAAAAGTTGACAGTCTTTGTTTTATGAATAAACAACCTGGCTTTTTTCTCCCTGCCCATACAGTTTGCATCCACCAGGCTCAACATTGGCTTTCTACCCTTGAGATACAATTGCGGTGTGTGTTAAGCACCCCAAAGAAAGGACCCTCCTTTGGTGTCCATGCTGTTTAGCTTGGGTCAAGAGGGTTTGTAGCAGAGATGGACTTTGAATGCCCATAGTGCTGCAGGTGTCTTAGGACCTTCTCCCAGGGAGGGAAGGAGACACTTTGGTCTCTACTTTCTGGACTAAAATGAAATCAAAACAGTGCCCCTTTCCCTGTCCTCCTCCCTGCACAAGACATTTGCCTGTGCTGCCTGGGGAGAAGACCTCTGTCAAAGCACTTTCATAGACAAATGAAAGCCCTCTGCACTGAGCTTAGGAGGAACTTTCTGGTTGCAGGAACATTTAGATGAGGATATATGAGCCAGCATTGTGGCTCATCCCTCCCTCTCTTGCCCTCGCAGTGACCCCAGCTCAAATCCTTGGCCTGCAGCATGCAACCAAGACCAGGGCAGCTTGTGACTCCTCTTGGCCGTGGAGCTCGGAGCCCTTGATGGTGAAATCTGAGGATGGAGCTCCAGAAGTAACCTCGCCTTGTGTGGTAACCGCAACCAACAGGTGGCCAAAGCTGCTGGAGCACCCTCATGTCATGCATCCACCAAGGAGCCGCATCGTGGTGCAGTGGCTTGGCACGGTGAAGGACAATATCAAGAGCTGTTGGCCACCAGGATGGGGAGAAAGAAAAGGTGCCCTTCTTCACAAAATGGAGCGTGTTGCAACTGCCTGCAGAGCTGGCTTACACAGTGATGGGGTATGTATGGGGGGGGAGATAAAAAAACTACAAAAAATACTAGCAGAATTGACTGGCTAAAGCTTCAGCAGAGGCTGTGATTATACTTGTCACCATCTGTTAACCTTCAAAACAGGTGTTGAGCATTTGAAGTGCCAACACGGTCCTCTGGCTGCGATCCGTGTGTGTGCAGACAGCGGTAACACGAACGCGGGCAGGGGGAAGGGGCTGGGGGGCTGCCAAGTGGGCACATGCACAAAAAGGGGATGGCCCCGGGCAGGCAGCGTGTGAGATACAAGTGGACTTGGCTGGCTGGGAAAGGTGGAGAACCTCCCGGCAGGGCTGGGACGGAGCAGGACATGTCCTCAGCTGATGGCAAACAGAGCTGCAGGGAGGGCCCTGGGGAAGGGGCTCTTCTTTTATAGGATGATTTGGCTGGTGAAGGCTTTGCGCCAGGTTTATAAAAGTTCTCAGGTTACCAAAATTCAGCTGGAGAAACCTTGATTCCTGCCAAGATCCTTAATTTTGACTTGCTTTTAGGAATTGGGACTAAAATGTTTTGTTGCACTCTTGCTCTGGTTCAGGGTCTTTCTTTGATATATTTAGGCTTAGTAGCTTTTTTTTTTGGAAAGTCATAAAAATGCTAGACTTTTAGTTTCAATAAGTTTATTTGCAGAAAATTTTCAGTAAGAATGCAACATTTCATTGGGGAAAACAAAACCAAAACCATTCATTTTTCTTCTAGGGCGTACTTACATTACCAAACATCGTGATGACAAGCATCTTGGGATCTTCCAAGGCAGTATTGTTAAGTAAATCAACAAGCGGCTTAATGCTCAACATGTGAAGGTGAGCGAATGACGTTCAAGCAGGAGGACTGGGTAGGGCTCTGAGGAGTATCCAAAGAATCTGAAATAAAAGGCTTTGAAGAAAAATGTCAGAGGTAAAGATCTGAAGACTGTGAGGTGCTAATAATTGACAACTGGCATGGCTTGCAAAGCAAAAAGACTATCAACACGCTTAAAAATCTCCTTGTCTTGTCTAACTAAATGTAATTAGCACTAAAAATACAAACACAAACTAGGATGGAAATGTGCTTATGCCGTATGTATGAACAAGATAATCTTGTGTCTGAGTTCCACCATGAGTTTTTTTCTTATTCAGCACATAAATCAGGTTTTCTGATTGCTTTTTAAAATTATTGTTCACCCACATTGTGATGTTGTCCCAAATGAGAACACCCAAGAAACACATCTCATCTCAAAGTGCTTGACAGTCCTCAAAGAGAAACAACTGACTGCTGACAAACCAGAAGGTACTCTCTAATTGCAGACGAAACTCCAGGGTCTGTATTTTTTTCTCCCTGCAGTGTTTATTAAACAGACATTGGTTTGGGTGTGAAAGCAGCAGGTTTGGAAAGTATTTCTAGCACTGGAGGTGGTGCTGCAGGGTATAGCCTCGGTTTGGAGTCTGTTTTGTGTATGTTCTGGAATATTGCAAATCATGTTGTGATAGTGGAGTAACTATAAACAGTCATTTGGCAGCATATCTTGGTTGTCAGAGACCTGATGCAAATGTGCATTCCCACCTTTGGTTCTTGTCCCATGCCCTTCCCACTCTGTTCATGCTTTGGGGGTTTCCACCAGAGTTTAAGGCTTGTGTGATCTGAGCAAAACTGCTGGTCATTTCTTAGCTCTGTGTTGCAAGACAGAGGTGGCTATGGTCTGGCTTTTTGGGGAGGACTGTCATGGTGCAAGGGATTTGCATCCCCTGCAAGCTTGATTTGGAAGCATTGTTATTTCTTGGCTGAAGCTGGAAGGGGACACACAGCATTTGGGAGAACGGTCTCATTTTCCTTCCTTCAAAAAAAGAGTCAAGGGGCACATCAGATTTCAGTGATGGCATTGACTGCATTTCCACTGAACACAGTGAGAATTTGGATACCCCTGTACATTCCCATGTTCTGATCTGTGAGTTCAACCTCACTTCTCCAAACAGGGTCAATTTTAAAGCAAGTGTGATGGTTTGGAAACTGAAAGTGTGTGCCAAGTATTTCAGAAGGTTCAGGACAAAACGAGAATTTGTCTCTTCACCTCAAGGAATCCAATGTGCTTTATTTCAATGAAGAAATTACAGATTTGGGGAAAAAATATGCTTCAGTGATTTACAGAGCCCATGCTTCATGGCTGTTTCTGACTTCAGTAGAGATTAGATGAGGTTGGCAGTTTCTTTTATACTTTTTCACAGATGCTTTATTTCTTCATTTTGGAGTTTAATTATCTAAGCGTGCATAAAAATAGAGGGGAGAAGAGTATCTCATATCAACTATGGATTTCTGCAGCTGCTCTGGATCACACTGCTTCAAGGCTTTATACCACTCCTAAAATACGATACTGACAAAAACCCATTACTGCATCACCACAGCTAACTCAAAATTTACACATTAGAGCTAGTAATCTCCAATGGACCTCCTCCATCCTTCTAAGTTTGATAAGAAATATTTATTTCAAGGAACATAAGACTGAATTTTGTGTCACATTTTCCTACCCACAAATATTTATTTTTCTGGGGGATAAAGCTGAATATTTCGCATCCTTTCTGAAGATGAGAACAAATGAAAGCAGTCGGTCCTGTCTGTCTCTCTCTTTTGCAATGATTAAGTTTTTGAGTATAGATACTGCTGAGAGGTTTCACTCAACTATGCTTGAAAACAATCTGCATTTATGGACTCAGGACCTTTGTCAAGCAAACCTGAAATTCCATTAAAAGGATAGAAACTTTTAGAAGCTCAGTTTTCCATAAATGCAAAACAAACAAACAAACAAACAAACAAAACCAACAACAACAACAACAACAAAAAACATTTCTTTAGCAGTTAAATCTTGTATCAAATTTTCTGTTATTCTTACCCTCAGTAAGTGTCAGGCTGACAGACTTATACTTATTTGATTATCTCCTTTACCATGTCCACACAACCCCATGATATTTGCTTTCTCAAATTTCTGCCACTTCTGGACATGAGTGATTAAAATCAGCCTCCAGAAGAGCTTCCTAATCTGCTCTTCTAGCAATCCTGCTGCAAGGTATCTGGATGTACTCATATGAACATGTTACAGTAGTAGTGACTGTTTTACATCAGTGTTGATTATGGATAGAGTCAAAAATGTTCGTCCTTTCCTTATGAGATGAATACAATGTCTGTTTTTCTCCCAGACAAAGAATGGATGTACTTGCTGAACACTTTGGACTTTCTGTATTATTACTGACTGTTCTGATGTTCTTAGCATTCATGATGTTCTTAGTGTATATGTTCTTAGTATTCATGGGCTAATAGGATTGGTAGGGTTACAATTGTTTCTAATGCTCTCAGACATCTTACTTTTTCTTTGGTCATATGTGTAATCCTGTATCCCTTTGTTTTTTTTAGTAGTTTTCTATAGCTCCAAGATTTTAATGTATTTTCAGTGTTTACAACATCTATGTTCTAAACATCCACCCAACCAGCCATTCATCTTTACTAGTAATCATCCCTTTCTAGCTTAGCATGGTTTTGAACCATGTCAGTATTTTTTCTTGCTTACACATTTAGTTTATTTTTGTTGTTCTTGTTTAGTTCTTTTTACATCCAGGTAAAAAAAAATAAATAAGCTACACAAAACAGTCATTGCATTTTAGTCTTCAATCTTTCCTTACAGCTGGCTTGTACTTGATACAGCTTTGTGAAACTGGCTGTCTTGAAATGCCTTGTGTTTTTAACTGTCTTGGACAGGAATCAAACATAATCACTTCCACCTTCATTACCACTAACTTTTACTTCTTGGTTAGAAAATTGTCATCCACTATTTGTAGAAATTCCAGAACAGTTAGTACTGCTGGAAGGACATTTTTGATATGTCGTTCAGAGTGAAGTTTCCATGACATTACTGTGTGCATGACAGATAAATGGTTTTGGAACTGCCCCACCTGATTTAGAGGGTGGTTTAGCAGTTTGGTGAGGCAGCTATTATAACCTTCTTTTTACCCATTTGGACATGATCCATAAGTATTCAAAAGCATTTGCTTTTGAGCCGTCACTGCTACAGAAGAAATTTAAGCTTAGTTTGACAGGAAATGCCAGCCATGGTCTCCTTTGCACACCTGATCCTCTGCTGAAAGGTTACAGTCACTGACCTCACCCCTATTCAGGAACATAGGGACACTCAGGGACATGTTTTCTCTGGGTTTCATTAGCACAAATAGGTGAAAATAGCAAATATGCAATGAATTTTGAAAAATATTTCACAATCGTTGATGAGCATTTTAACCTGTTCTTTAAAGGTTAAAATTTTGAACCTAAACTCTGAGATTCCCTGTCCCCCAAATACCATTTTGTTCTTTTATCACCCCTAAGCTTGATAACTATAAAATGCCTTATATTTTCAATATTTTATTTTAAAAATTGTACATGAAAGAAATAAAACTCCATTGCTCTTAAAAAGCTTTTCTCTAAGCTATGCTCTTGCAGACCCCAGAGAAAACACATGGTAAAGAGGGAAGCAATAACAAGAATTTCAGGGGCTAACTCATGACTGTGACCCTTGTTATCATCAACAGTAATATGAAAGAAAATCCCTCTGTAATCAGAAAAGTCATACAAAGAAATTAAAGTGTCAGAGAGCAGGATTTATCCCTTTACATTCTACTTTTAGTCATTCATTAACCAAGGCTGTCACCATCTTTTGGAATGTATTAATTCAGCAGATCTCTTATGTGTGGAAGATTTCCCAGCATTTCAGCATCAGTTTTCAGCATTCAAAACTGTTTGTTTAGAAGGGGTTACACAGGATGGCCAGAACATCCTTGGGGGCACCATGGGGACATCGCCATCCCCAAGGTGATATCTCCCAAGCTTCATGCCCAGTCAGGGGACAAATGTGACTGAATGGCAGATATCAACCTCTGCCAGAGCCTGAAGAAATTCACACGGGGGTTCCCAAGACTTCATCAAATAACCGGATATTGAGATACAGTCTTAGAGTGTTTTGTCAGCTAAGAAACTGTTTAAGACTGAAGCCTAGTGAGAGCCAAGTATGTACATGCACAGTGTTTCAAAGAATTAATCATGTCTTCAGATGTGGAGCCTGCTAGTTAGTTTAATTACTGTCCATTTTTTTTTCTTTCAGTAGCTAAATGGATCCAGTGACAATGAATCTTATTTCATTTTTAATAGATGAAAGAGAAGCAGGCTTCAAAACAGATAATGAATTTCTTCTAACTCATCTGGAGACTGAAGAGCCATAATTCTGATTGATCAGATATGGTCTGCCTCAGAGAGGCACCAGATGTGATCCAGATTTTAAATAGATGCTGCTGCTGTCAAAATGCATTTGCTCCCTCCTGGTGTAACAAAGTGAAGTCCATCTGTCTGGAGTTGTGTACTTTTTTTAGTGGTAATAACAGTTAACATCAACAATAAGCTTTGTCTCATTAGTATCACATAATCCCTACTACTAAGTCCCCAGTTTCTGGTCCCCATATTATCTGCCATGGAAAAAATAAAGACCACAGCAGGAGCTAAGAAGGTCAGTGCATTCTCAGGGTAATCAGCTGTAGTAAATTCAATTCTGACAAGACAAGGCTTGCAAATGTCTAGGGAATTAAGGGATCATCTATAATTTCATATGTTGAGTGGGAAAGTGTCCTTCCAAGCATTTATTAATTACAGATGAAGATGTGTATGGTGGTCATCCTTGGGGACATTTCTTCTGAAAGCATGAAAAATGGACTTAACTGTTTGCTGCTGCTTCTAAAGAAGAAGAAAAAAAAAAGAAAAAGAAAAAAGAAAGAAAAAAAACCCTGATCTTAGCATTTAGCCTTGCAATAGTTTATATCAGTGTTCTTTCTCTCCAAGTTTTTATTGCTGTGCCTTAATAACTGATGCCTGTCACCCTGTCTGTAACTTCTTGCACACAAGTTTTCCACTGTAATCAATAGGGAAGGATTCCCTTGGCTTTAGTGTGGCTCTGTGCTGCCTCCACAGGGTTTGCAGACCTTAAGAAGTAGCAAGACAAGAACAACAGACATAAAGATTTTGCATTTAGAACTGAACCTTTCTTTTAAAGATATCAGAATATTTTGGAAACCTTATTTACTACCTTTTGAGGCCTGTGGTTTCTGTTCTGTTTTACAGATGAGGAAATTAAAGCACAGGGAGGTTAGAAGCTTACATTTTCCAAGCTGGGCAGCTAAAGGTAAGCACTTACATCCACACCTTTCTCCCTCAAGAGGAAATCTTTGACACTTTCTAACTCACTTTTGTGCCTAGTTTTTGAAAACTTGGGCTTTTAGGTTACCCAAGGGCTCACCAAAAGTCACCAGAATTGCTGACAAGATCATTCAATTGTCTTAAAAAGACTCAAAGTGTGTGGCTTATTTCCCTTTATGAAACCAAGGCTGAGGAGGAGAAATGAAAATCCATCAGGCAAGCTAAATACCCAGGGAGGAAAAGAGCTATTTAAGTAAGAGAATAAACCTGCCATGAAAACAGGTTGATCTCAATTAACTAATTAACGTTAATTCATGATCTCATGAATAAGCATAGACTGGAAATTAGGAGGCTTGTAACTACCAAAGGAAATTTGGAGACAAATGAGGATTTTGGGGGCAAATAACATTGCTTGGTTTGAGACAGAGTTGGATCAGAGTCCAGAAGGGACGAGGGGATGTAGCACTGGCACCTCTAAGGGACTGTATTTGGTGGTCTGGCACGTCCTTCTCTGTGTTATGTTCACAGGATTGCAAACCAGTTTTCCAGTGCCCCGGGACACACACAAATGCTGAGACAAAATAGCCTTCCTCCCTGCAGGGGCCCCTGGGTATTTCTTGTTTAGGGTTTAGGTCGCTTGGGTTGGAAAATGCTATTGCTGCCACAGGAAGAAAATGAATACCTGGTGATATCAAATAGCGCTCTCCTTTTTAGACCTGCAGTGCCTCATATGCCAGATTGCAGCTATTGTATGAAGAATTTTCAGTTCTTTTTTGTGCCTGGCAACTGATTGAAAGTTCATATTATTTATGGCAGAAAACAGCAGTGTACTTTTGAGCTTGAGGAAGCTGGGAAAGTGCAGTGGGTGTCAATCAATTAAGCTATTCAACTTATTTATGAAACAAGACAAAACAATGTCTAGGATATGAATTCCCATCTCAATAGGATCCTCCCTGATATAAAATGTCAGCGCTGAAAAAGGGTCAGCTCATGACCCTTGAATATTCTTTTAAACTATTTGCAAATCAATACCTCTTCTCTGGGTTTGTTCGGGGACCATCGTTCCCTTTTATTATAAGTCACGGGGCACAGACTGCTTATCAGCAAGCATGGAGACAGATCACTGCACTAAAGGAACAGCTGGCTTTGGAGACCAGCCCTGCCTCTCATTTAGAGGGGAGGCTCAGTTCACACTACTCTGGCAGTGCAAAGGGTTTTAAAGTTATTATAATCATGCCTTTTACTGATGCTTGGACTCCTTTATATGTGCTGAAAGAGGGATGAAGTCCTTCGGCATGCGAGCAGTTGGGATTGTCTCCCTCTTACAATATCAGCCATGAGTGCCGTCTCCCATTTTCTCTTCCACATGCTCCATGTCAGGAAGTCCTTCTGCATCTCTGAGTATCTGGGTTTGGGGTTTGTGATCATCTCCCCCCCTCTCTTAACTGCTCTGCTGGCACTAACCTGTTTGGTACAGGTAGGCCCTGAGTAGACAGATGGCCTGAGCCTCAACTGAGCATCTGGCCTGTTAAGCTGTCTAAAAAGGCATCATCTTTACAAATCCGG